AAGGAAGGAAGGAAGGAAGGAAGGAAGGAAGGAAGGAAGGAAGGAAGGAAGGAAGGAAGGAAGGAAGGAAGGAAGGAAGGAAGGAAGGAAGGAAGGAAGGAAGGAAGGAAGGAAGGAAGGAAGGAAGGAAGGAAGGAAGGAAGGAAGGAAGGAAGGAAGGAAGGAAGGAAGGAAGGAAGGAAGGAAGGAAGGAAGGAAGGAAGGAAGGAAGGAAGGAAGGAAGGAAGGAAGGAAGGAAGGAAGGAAGGAAGGAAGGAAGGAAGGAAGGAAGGAAGGAAGGAAGGAAGGAAGGAAGGAAGGAAGGAAGGAAGGAAGGAAGGAAGGAAGGAAGGAAGGAAGGAGCTCTTTTCAGCAACTGTTTTCCAATGAATATGCTGCCTCCCAGTCAGTCTCATTTTGATTTAGGATTTCAAAAACCAAATCACTAATCCTGCGAAGGAGAGAGAGAAACTTTTCCTTTGTATCCTGAAATGAGATGGGTGAGGTCCCTTCATGCTTTGGCCTCCAGTGATGCCAGAAGGGCTGGCAAGTCTCTAACCGCATTAGAGCAGCCCTGCGTTGGGCAATGGCCTGCCTCTCCAGCTCTTGGCTCCAGCCACACCCTGTGGCAGAGACCAACTTCTGCCCCAAGGACAGACTCAACACAAAGGTTGCTGAGACTTACATATCCGAAGTGTCCTTTCTGGGAGCAGTTGTAGCAATAGGCCAAAGCAGAGCGCTCAGCGTGAGAACCGCCCGCCTTGATTGGTCCTGGCTTGGTCTGAAAGGTGGAAACAGGCAGGAATTAGATCTGGTAGTGTTATGGATGCTGAATTAGTACGAAATTAAAATTACAGAAATATATATATATATAATGCTTAAATCAACATGTTCGTGCTTGCTGTTGGAAGATTAAGTTTCAAAAAGAAGCAAGTGGCTCATATTACTGTTATTCTGAAGAGTAACTTCAGCCTGAGCACTGCACAAGGTGGGAAGAGGCCAGTATTTATTCCACCTGGCCAAGTTATTCCAGCTCTGAATACAAGCAAATAGGCTGCTGATTTCTATTCCTCTCCTCCTCCTCATCTCCCAGCCCCTGCCCCTCTCACAGATGCCCCCGTGTCCCCCGGGAGGGGCAGGGCTGTCAGACACAGCATCCACCAGCTGGGCAGGCACTTTTGTGTACAGCAGAGCCAAGGCACTATGGAAAAGCCCTGAGGAGATACGGGTCCCGCACCCGCTGCATTCCCATTCCCAAGCCCTGCCCTGCTCCCAGCTGGATCCAGGACCTGGCTGCACTCAGGACACAAGGCTGGGGTCCTTGCCTGCTCTCTGAGCTGGCCTGGGGCAGAGGGGATCCAGTTGCTCCATCAGACGCAGGGAACAGGCAGATCTGTTTCCTGTCCCCTATCCAGCACCATCCAGTGGAACAGCCAGACACAGTGTCTGTCCCTTCACCCTTCCCAGGCACATTCACGCCCTGGAGCAGCCGGGGCCTGGCAGAGCAGGCTGGGGAACCTGCACGGGCAAAGAGAGGAGCAACCCTGAGCTCTGGGCATTGTGTGTGTGCAGCAGGACCCTCCATCTCTCAATTTGCCTGCCTCAGTTTCCCTCTATGATTCAGCCGTTTTTTCTCTCTCAGTTTTGCAGGCCCAGGCCTGGAGTGATAGATTCCCATGAGAAAGAAAATGGCCCAGCAAACTCTGAGCTGGTAACAACCTTGAGAGATACAAAAAGAGGCCAAGTGGATGTTTGTAACACCAGCTGCTCTCTGGTGTTGAAGAACACGGAGCTTACCCCGGCCCCAACTAAATCTCAATTAGTGCATAAACCTCAATGCCACAAATGCCACCCGTTCCGTCTGGGACAGCGTGCACCCTTCCCTGAGGAGAGTGGCCCCAATTCAAAGAGATTAGTACCCCTTGGTGGAGCTCCCTGCAGGAATCTCCTTTAAGTCTGTTTCCCCACGCTGCTCCCCTGGCGCTGCCGGGCTCCCCGGCACAGCCCCCGCTGACCCACCGTGTGGAACAGGCAGCAACAGGCGCCCGCCCCTGCCTGTGGTCAGTCTGATCACACCTTGAGGGTCACCCCATTGCAACCTCTTCTGTGTTTCAGCTCTACCTTCCTCAGCTCACACGCAGTCGGCAGGAGAGGGCTGAGGGCAGAGTGACACATCCAGCAGTGGCTGGTGACAAAAGGCAGGGACAGGGGGAAGGACAGAACAGCTGCCTGAGAAGTTATTTGTGTGTCTCTTGCCCAAGACTCACACTGAGAGCTCTTCAGCAGTGAATAAGTGACTTACTAAGCTAGCTTAGTTTTTCAGGTGTTCTTTTATCGTAAATACATAAAGCAGGCAAGGAAAAAAAACCCACCCCAAAATGCAAACATTTGTATAACCCCCTTGAGGTTACACAGTGCATGAAATCTGTGGCTTTAATTTACTGGATCAGTCACCTGTGCCCCAGTCAGTTTTCAGCATGAGGAGGGGCCCTAGAAATCACTTCCACTTTGGAGAGGGCTCCTGAAAAGCAGACATAAATCCGACGGGGGACACCTCCCTCTGCCCTCCCTCCCACCATCTAGACTTCTACCCACATCCAATAAACCTGTTTTCAAAGCTGATGTTCACAGAAACCCACAGCGAGATGCTGACACAAAAACCCCAACAGGTTCCTTTGCTCAGTCCCTGTCTGCCAGAGAGCCCTGCAACTACAGCATGAGCAGAGCCGAATACATGAGCTGTCAAAAACAAAATCAAGGCCATCAGGTTACTCTTTTGTCTTTCTGCCAGAACCAGAAGGTCAGTCTGAAGATGACACGATTATACCGCTTGGTCTTTGCAAGGTGCACTGTAGCAGTAACACGCAGTTACAGAAAACAAGGATCATTCCAGAGGAAGGATCTTGTGCATCCCAAGATGCTGTCTGCTGGAATGCTGGCGGGGGAGCCTGACACCGTCATCCCACAACATCCGTAGGGAGGATTTCACCATCATTAGTGTTACGTGGAAGCTCTAGTAAAAGTTGCACTGAGTTCAAAACAGTACTACTTTAAAAAAAAAAAAAAAAGAAAGGAAAAAAAAAAAGACAAGTGAGACCTGGCACTGCTTTGAGCTGTGGTTCTGAGCCCAAGGGCACAGTGTGGGTGTGGAGAGGCAGCGAGCACTGCAGCGCGCTGCGCCGGCTGATCCCGCCGCCCGGGATGTGGGTCACTCCCCTGGCATCTCTGGAGGGCACGTGTCCCAGGGGACCCTCCAGTGCCTCCTTTCCTGTCACCCCAACCTTCTCCCTTCCCCCAAGCCAGCTCCGCCCCATCTCCTTTTGTTTTGTTGTCAGAAAAGGTCACATTTAAGGAAAGAAATCAAACCCAAACACTTGCAGGTAAGATTACAACTCCTTACAACTCTACTGCTTTCCAAAGCCAAACAAAAAGGAAACCACACATTATAAACCCTCTGTTTTCTTATTATTTAAGGCTTAAAAAAGCATCTAAAGACTCCAGCCATATGGGTACAAAATAAACTATTCATGAACGTACCTTCTTTATGTTATAGTTTTTTTTTGTTACAAACATTTAAATAATCTATATTTGTAGGGTGATATCTTGGAGATTACTTCACTATCAATATATAGAAGTAATAACCTGGTAGATAGCATTACCTATGAAAGGTCCATCCCATCTGCTATTCTTGCTGAAAGCTTTTCATGCACCAGTAAACTCAGTAAATATCAGAAGATAAAGCATAAGCCTACCACGCCATGGATTTACTCCTAATGTCTCCTCAAAGTGCAGCCTGATGCAACGATTACAAATGATTTTTCTTCTAATGTCATTTTACATAACCCTTTTTTCTGCATGAGTAGTTAGTGTGGAATGAATGAATGAATGCCATTAAAACAGTTAATCATTATCTGGGACACTGGCCTTCCTCCCTTCTCAACTAGGAATCTCCATGACAAAGGCCAAGAGATCAAAATGCCAGGGCTGCCTCTCTGGCCTATTTCTGACAGTAATTTTTTATGCAAATGGACCTGCTGGGCAGCTCCCTCTGTGACCTTGAGCTCCTCTTATCTGCACCGACTTTGATCCAATGAGGGCTGGCTTTTGTCAAGCTCATTACTACTTAGGATCTGCAATCTGGCTAAATCTCACTAATTAAGGAAAATCTCCTGACCTCCATTTTTGTGTGTTCCTCTGCTCCTCCGTGTTTGGTGACACGTGGGCCCCAATGGTGGGGGGACTGGGGCGAGACCCTGTAGTGCCACCCTGCTGCCCGCTGGGGACAGACCCAGCTCATGACCTGTTCCTTGTACAGCCCTGCGGCAATGCCAGCTGACCCCAGCTGACCCCAGTTGGTCCCAGTGCCCAGCCCAGCAGCACACGCTGCGGTTGGGATCAGGACCCCATGCGGGTCCATCGCTCCTAACTCGCAGACAGACCAAAACCAGCAGAGCTCCTGCCAGAGGAGCAGCTTTCCACCCTCACTCCCATGCCAGGGAAACCACACTGACAACCAAGGAACAAGCAGAAATCTTCCCTGTGCTGTCCAGAGCCCTGTCATCAGGTGGACACAACTCGTGCCTCCATCAACTCTCCATCAGCTGCCCCTGCCTGAGGCTTGTTCTGAGGGTTTTTTGGCTTGGAGAACTCCACTTTAGCAGGCAAGGGGTAGCTCTGTCAACTCTTTCCTGAGTGTGCCCAGGGCTGGCAAGCTCTGTGTCCTTGCACCACCTCCAAACCTCCCCAGCACCACTCCTGAGAGATGAGGAGACACATACTTCTCATCCATTAGATCAATTCTGTGCTCATATTTAGTCTGTCAGATATTTTTTACTGTTGTTTCACTCCAAAGATAAGTAATCAAGTGGTGGATTACAGAAAGAAGCATGGGGGCAGGACACCTCCACGACCTGAGCAGCAGATGCAGGTGCCCATTCTCACCAGGTGCCCACCAGGAGCTCTGCGTGCCACGACTGAGTGACCCTTGGATACAAACGGAGCAAAGCCCCTCGGCCGCGACGTCTCACCGGGTTCTTGAGCCACTGAAAGATGCTCATCAAGTGAATCATTACACACTGTGGGTTGTAGACTGGAGCTGGACAGGGGAGCAGCCAGAACAGCTCTATCACTGAAAAATATATATTTATTTTCCCTTTACAAATGATCACAGTCTACTTGTGTTCCAGCTCAAACAATGGCAGGTTAGCACCATTCCCTTACATTAAAAATTGCCAATATAGTATCATGTCATATTGTAATTATACTAAGGGTTTTTGTTGTCCTTATTTTCTTTAACCATGTCATGCACCCAGTAGACTTGCATTCCATTGGGTAATTCCTTAATTAGGCAGGTTTTTGAAACAAGTATTATGTACACAACAGACCGGAACGTCTCCTTTGGAGTCTTTCTAGTCTATCAGGTGATTGCATCATTAAGCCACACATGCTACGTAGTAAAAATCCTTATGAAAATTCATGACAGAAACATACTGAGCTTGATGCATGCTAATAAATGAGAAACAGACAAATTTGGTATTTTGACTTTTAAACCTGAGTTAAAAAAAAACAACAACAAAACAAACCAAATTTTATTTCTTAATTTTTTCAGCCATGGAAAAAAACAACTTACTCTCCCAGCATGAGTTGTGCAGGTCCCACCTCAGTATCTTTCCACAAATTACAACTTGTAATTGAGTTTACTAAATGTGCTTATAACGTCCTTTCCACCCTTTTGGGTGTCAACAAAAGGCAGTGAAATAACCCAGAAAACAGTGATGTAAG